ACTAATACGCCACTGGTAAAAACCTTTTTGTACACATTTTCGGTACCCTCAATTTTTTGAGGATAAAAGAATTTACTTCGTTTAAAGCTCTGAAGCAATTTCATATTTTATTAAAAAATATATTAAAAATAACCGAACTTTATAGGTATCATCCGCAAACAGCAGGAACTTTTCAAATTCGATATCAATACTACACAACCCATCAAGACGAGGTCTCTTCGAACTCCATTTCATCCATAAAACATTACTTCGAATTCAGTATAACAAACTCCTACGTTTTTTTTTATATCCCGCCGATAATATTCCTGTCAACTTCACAACAACGCCGGAATAGATCGTAAATCGCAGAGTTGAATCGGTTTGATTGTATCGAAAACCGATTCATTCACCGGCGAAACAAGGGAATATTGAAATTTATTGAAATTACTGCGTACCATCCAATATTGAAATGTAAATAAAATTTAATTAACATTTACCTCGTTCTATTGTAGGGTAAATTATCAAAGGGAATGTACACAGGGCCGGTCTGCGGCGATGTAGATAGGTAGGTGTAGGAAAAACAAATTTACTTTAGAAGATTTACCAAGTAAAATTAATGATATTTTTTTAGACTATTATATACTAAATAAGATGACTTTTAGAGGATTTTATATGATTTTACAAATTTTAAGAATGTTTCTAAACGTTTAAAGCATACTAAGTGGTCCTAGACTTTTCTAGTTTATCTCACAGTTATAAGATCCTTCTAAATACCTACTTGTAGTTTTGAATTTATTCTCAATGATTTTGCAGAGTTATGAATGATTCTAAGATCGTCTCGAACTGTTTCAAAGGGTTTTTTACTAATCAGTTCACAACGGTATTAAATGATTCTCGACAATTTAATGATTTTGATGAATTCTAAGTGATTCTGAAATTGCCCTGAAAAATTTAAAAACACTAGCATGTATACTTGTGTCATACCTTGTGGTGCGACCCGGTATACTCGAGTAAATTAGGAATAAGGTAATATTTAGAGTTGCACAGTATACTTTATAATGTAGACACAAAGTGAGATGTATTTTCATGCTTTAATTACCTGTATCAAAGTTGGAATGTAACAATTAAAGGAAGAGTATACAGTCAAATAAATTCATTAAACATGTAGATACAATTAGGAAAATTTGTAATTTACCTTTTACCGCGTAACCCGCAGAATGAAATGTCAAATACATCGAATTTGATGTTAATTAAACTATGCCTACATAAATAAATAACATGACCAATTAATTGCATCTAATACCATATAGCATCCGCAAGGTAGAATTTAGTAGACCTGCAGCACGGGTTATTCCAGCAGGATTGCGTTCGAAAGGTCACGACCTACTCGAATTATTTATTGTCCTCCTGGGTGTAATCATATCGTAGACAACGTGCTTCGTTAGACAGGTCTCTACCGAGTGGCAGTGGTTTCCGGTTTACTTCAATTTCCAATTTGTGAAGAAATTAATGCCGGAGCTTGAGAGGCAGGTGAGAATGACTGCAAAGTGAGTATACTTATATAAGTTGCTGGATAATAATTAGGGGAGAGTCAGGTATATTGTCGAACCTTTTTCGATATAATTGGCGATGTCAATGAATTCTTGCAAGAAATAAAAATAAAATTTGCTCGTAATATAGCTTGATAACAAATAATTTTCCAAAGCAAAAAAAGGGAATTAAATTGTAAATATTTTTAAGATAATTAATTCGGGAACAATCCATTTGAGAAAATTTCTCCAATCTATTCTTTCCTGTTTCCTGTTCTGCTATCTATTCGATTCTTTTACGTTTTTCCGTTTAAAATACAGTTTTCCGGGATTTTCTTGTCGCAATAACAGCTCCCTCTCGTAGCGAATGCTCGTCTTCAACAGGAAAAATCGATGAGAATATTCCATGTCCTTCAGCACGTTTATATTATTACAGTTTTCCTTACATATGTAATACATATGTATACCGGGTTCATAAAAGTTCTAAATAGTCCTCTGAAAAAAAAATATTAATTACATTGTATTTACCACGTTAATCATTGTCGTTTTTCAAATATATGAACATTACTACCGAAAATTAATTGACGCAATTTGCTTGCCTAGCAAACTGTCTCGTTTCTCGTCCCCTTTTCCCACTTTAACTCTTTAACTAGTAATAAACCATGCACGTTAAAGCTTCATTATTAGGACGTTCTCATGCATCCTAAAGTGTCCTGAATAAATCCTGTTCGGAACTCGGTTATTCGCTTAATTGATGTTGACGTTTTGTCTAACGAATCTAATTTTCGACTGCGAAACGGCCGAGCTCAGTCCGGTTTCGTACCCGGAAAAAACCATTTAAGCTTAAAATATTTATCGTTGGAGTTAATGGCGTGATTACTTAGATCTCAAATCTTTTTAAAATATGTTCAGAATAAATTAGTACTAGTATAATCTAATCGGTTTAAAGGGTAAATATTTGTTGGTATAAACAGTTTAATTAGAGAAATACCCTGTGGCAAAAAAAGTACCCGGAAATTATTATTTAAATTACCTGCACTTAATTTTTAACTATTTCTAGTTTCTCTATGTATAGGTAACACTGTTCTTAATTAACATGCAAAAAATTAGAGATTTCTAAATCAGTTTGGTTGTAACAGCTTATTGAATCAGTTCATCTCAGTAGTGGTCTGTGAATTTTGCAATGGACAAAAATAATGAACAAAGAGTTTGTCTCATATCTTGGACTTTTACCGGAATTTCGTGGGACAAATCGATTCAATTCATGTTTACAAATGGTACAAAACTTTTAAAGACAGTGGGAAGATCGCTAAAGATTTGCCTTGTTCCTGTTCCGGACGGTTTTCGATCTCTTCAAATAATGATAACGAGAAAATGAAGAAAAATTGAGTTCTAAAATCATCATGATAGTATTAGAGAAGTAGCACGTGATCAGCATCTCCCGTTTAACCGCTCTTTTGATTTTGCTCAACCAATCGGACATGTTGATGCCAATTGAGGCACAGCTCGGTCCGATAGAGGAGACTTTCTTCAAAAACGGTAAAGTCAACTGGTCGATGCAAACATACTGATTTGTGTAAAGTACCATCGACCAGCCGCCTCAACCATCAGATTTAGCCTCGTGCGACTTTTTTTTGTTTCCCAAGACTCAAATTACCACTTCGGGAATTCCGTTTTGACATAAATGCCATTAAAAAAAATCGCAGAAGGTGATAAAGTCGTACCAAAAAGGACGATAAAAATGTTTCGATGGTTAGGAAAGGCGTCTGACTGTGTGTATCGCTTTATAAAAGGAGCATATTTTGAAGGAGATTCAAGAAAAAATAAAAGAGATTAGGAAATTTGCGTTTTATTAAAATTTTCCAGGTACTTTTTTGTCTCTGTGTAGGTACCGAAAATCTTCAAATTTACATTTTAACCTCTGTCAAATAATGTAAATAGTGTTTACTACCTGACCCAACTAAATTGCCGCTCCATATTTTCAGAACTCTTATGCACCTTTTCATGCGCTTTTTTAATTGGGTCATGTTGTAAACAGGTTTTTAAATTTTAAAGCCAGGACTTAGGTAACATTATTTGATGGATTAATGCAGAATTTAGAAACAGGATGATTGAATTTTGTAAAAAAAACTTAATACGAGGTATAGAATTTGATGCAATTTTAGTTATAATAGACACCATCCTGCATCATTTGCAATCATCTGAAAAATATACTAATTTAGTGAAATATTCTAAACAATCGAGAAGATTACATACATAGGAATTCTTAAAGAAAATGCCTAAAAAAATCAGATAAAAATTTGTGAAAGCGAGAGTTCCATTAATTAGTATTATAGCCATGTTCTTTCTAATCAAGTTAAGTATCACGCACGAAGGTATACCCGAAACATTAATGTTCACAACACATTTGGAACAACTTCTAGCACAAACCTAATAAAGACAAAAAAAGAGCAGAAATTTAGCAATAAACAACTCCATATATCAAATCCAACCAAAAAAACTCACCTCCTCCACATTCCATTTATTTATATCCCCTATCATCTAATCCAACGTTATTCCTTCATACTCCTTTAAGCGTCGCAAATAGCCTTGTGTTACAAATAGCCCTGGCATTTTTTTCCGCTGTACGGCCGTGAAAATTTCGGAAACTCAACACCTTCGAATTCGCTACGCAATTTTTCGATCCATTTGGCAGGACGACGTGTGATAAAAACTCTGCCGCACGAAAGGATCTCGAGGAAAGCGTCGTAAGTGGGGAATTTCGACGTCGTTAACGATTTCCCCTTCGCGTAACGACGGGAAATTTGAATGAAACTGTTATGAGTGCTAGCGAACTTTTATTAAAACCCCCTCGCGGCAGTTTCACCTATGCGAAAGGGATTTTATGGAAGCTGTTTATGGCAGTGAAGGATTTTCTGCACTGAAAAACTCTCTTTTAAATTTAAGCCGATGTTTAAGAGTCGGAGCTTGTACCAGTTTTTGGGGCATCAGAATGAAAAATGAACGAAAAAGCTTGATTGAAAGCGTTTTTGTTTGATTGCTTATGCCACTATTACAAATGAAAAATTGGCATTAATGTAGAATTTTCAATATTTTAAGCAAATTAGTAGTATTTGAAAAATTGTGCGAGAAATATTCCTGTTTTCATTTAGCGCAACTCTCCAATTAAGCATTTGCAAACAAATGTTTTATCAGGGAAGCAAATATTGAACTTAGACAAGAACAATTCGAAATTTATAACATTTCCAGTGTTACGAATTGCATATAAAAAATGGGATACAAAATTTGGACTAACCGAATAAATATAACGAGCAATAGAAATGATATCGTTTATTATCTAAATAAATAGCGGTTTTATACACATTTGCATACAAAATGGTTAACAGAACTTATGCAATTAGAGTAATGGAATATCTCGTCAAAATAACGTATGGTTGTATGTTTTCAATAAGCAATATTGACCAATTCTATTTTAATACCTGTGAATTATTGGATTATTATAAAAATATTCAATTATTGTAATTATTATGCGCTATGTTGGCAGTAAATGTGGAAATTACAATTTGAGGGTGGTAGATAGACCATTAGGAAATCCATATTAACTCTAACAATAAAAGTTTCTTTTAAAATTATAATGAAATAAATAATAAATTGTAGACTTTCATCGATATGTTATTTAAAATAATTATTATCAAAATCGACAGAAACATTAAATAACAAATATATGAAGCACCTATAAGACAAATAAAAGATTTTATAATAACACTGTCATTTCCTGCTGTCAATTTGCGCTTCTTACTTTATGGATTTGCATTCCTCAGGTTAACAGCAAAAACAACTTTGAATTTCAATTGCTTTCAGTAGATTATAAGAGAATTTACATTTCATACCATCTACTTGAATAAATATCACATTATACCCTCGTATATCCTATATCTGGCGCGTGAAGTTCTTTTATCGTTTTTTTATTGTAACAAGTGACTTGTATATCAAATTTTCTCCCATACGGATACAGTCGAATTCAAGGATAAACCGTCGTATTGTAGTAAATTCAAAGTAGATTAGATTACGAATTAAATTACTCCATACATCGCGATCGTCTTATAAATCCGATAAATCCGATAAAAAGTTAATCTACAGTCTGTTATCTCGCACGTCCGTAATCACCCCCCAAATTTCTATAATCAACTCATCGGTGAATTCGAACACAGCCAACTCCGATTCGTCCACCGCCTCGGCAAAGTCCATCGAGTTCTTCTTATCGACCGAAAGGTCCCATATCTGCGACGCCAGCTCCGAATCGTTGATCCCCATGAACGACTCCAATATCCCGTTGATCTTCTCGACCCCGACCTCCATGGCGTCGTCCTGCTCCTGCACCTCCGCGTTCCCGTCCGCCTTGAACCTGAGCGTCTCCCTGCCGCTGCCGTAGCCCTTCTTGCTCCCCGCGCCTCTGCTCGGCTTCGGCGTCAGCTCGCTGAAGCCGCTCTTCAGCGGCTCCACCACTCTTATGGTGAACGTCGTGTCTACGGGGATGTTCTTCAGCGCGTTGGCCACTTCGAAGTGGCGCTTGCCCACCATGCTGACGCCGTCTAATTTCTCGATGTGGTCGCCTACTTGAATGTGTGGTATGTGATGGATGATGGAGTCTTCTTTGATTCGTTTGATGAAAGCGTAGCCGGCGCCGTTGTCGGTGATGGTGAGCCCCAAGGCGTTTTGCGATTTGGTCAGTTCCACCTCCTTCGGGCGGCCTTTGCAATGGGCGAAGATGAAGTCTTCCAGGCCTATTTGGCCTCCGAGCAGTTTGTTCATGTCGATTTTGTAGGAGTTTAGGGTGCAGTAGAGGATTTCGGATGCGGGTATGTTGAAGCTCTCGCCGATGCGTTCGTACAGTTCTTTGATGTTTTTGAAGTTCGACACGAATGTAGTGGGACTTCCGTGGGCTAATTGGCAATAAAATTGCAGGGAGTTCTTCGAAACTGGTGATACGGGTGGCGCTGTGGGGGCAGAAGGCGGTTCCATCTGGTGACTCTCGCTGTTTGCGATCGCCTTCGACGATTTCGAACGGTGTTTTTTGAACATATTTAGCACGTACGAATGTTTAAACAAAGCTAGTCACAGCACACAAGATACTGGTACGGATGATATCACTATACTGTTATCAGCGAGAGATAACGTGCCCGTATTATTAGATTTCATTTTAGATAATTTCGAGGGCTTGAAAGCAGATAAACGATATCCAAGATGTATTGTGTAATATGTATGTATGTATGTATGTGGTTATTACGAAAAACACATGCATAATTGAATATTCTGGCCCACTATTCCACGAAAACTCCCGAGCAATTACCCCACATTTAAATATAAGTAAGCACAATAATTGGAAAACAATAATTATTAATTTTATTATATTTCTTTCTAATTTTCTATAATCCAACAAATGTACCTGTAACACGCGATACATGAGTTAAGCATTCGTTTATAATTGGTTTCGTTTTCCAGTTTAGTTCTCGTGTTTCTCATTATATGATTGAAGCAAACTCATCAGTATCAGTTACTTCGGTGTGTTATATGAAAGATGTATATTTTTAGATGTGTTGTTTGTAGTTTTCAACGATGCACATAGCTTATGAATTTCAAAGATGTGTATGAAAATTCAACGACGAATCAGGATCAGATGACAAATAAAATACTTATACCATGGCCAATGCGTGAATAATAACCATACAAACTCAATAAAGGCATTGCGAATGGGAACACAAAACGAATTCATCGGAGATATTGTAGTATTTTCTTTGTAGTTTCCTTTGCATACCTTCAAATCTCCGCTTTTATAATGCAAATACCTACCAAGAATACGACGAATTCATCGTTTTCCTGTCGACTTCTGCTTGTTTATCTTGCGGTGGAAGCCACCTCGAGCGTTTAAAATTGTCTTAGAAAACGGACTGGATTGCGATAAATTTAGGTTGAAAATCTTACCTAATTATTTCGTGTGAATGGTTTCAGATTAAAATTTGCTAAGATACTATTAAAATTAACCTAAACATTGTACCTAATATTTGTAACGTACACCAATATCAGTTATATTAAAAATTATCTACTAATTTAATCTGTACAATTAGGTACAATCAAAGTGTAATCCTCTAATTTATACTCTGCGTCATACGTGTAACAGAAGTGCAACAGCGAATATATCTGACAATTGTAATACAGGGTGTTCCATAATGACAAGCTCATATTTAAGTGGGTTTAAAAAGGGCCCTTTAAAAAAACCTGATATGATCATATGTTCTAAAACTGAAATTTATTATTTTTTTAATTTTAGCAAATTTAGTAAAAACATTTTTTTTGCGAAACGATGAGTCGTACAAAAAATCCAAAAAAACAAATTTGTTCTAAATTGAATGAGGATTCCGAAAATAATTTTTATTTCAATATTAGGAAGTGGGGGCACCATATTTTTCTCCAAAAATATTCAATGCAAAACCCGCACGGACGCCACTGCTAATTATAATAAAATTATTTGTACATCAGAAAATGCATCTTGATTTACAATAGTATCATTATTACATAAAATTATTTTTTTTTAGACTTTAACACCCTGTATCTCAAAAGTTAAGACGCCTAGGACATAAGTTCATATGAAGTTTATTTATGACTTTTATATATATAGAAAACTATTTAGAATTTTTCATTAGGAAAATTAACTGCTTTAGTGAAATTTAATATTACAATTTAACTGTGTTTTCCGATATCTGCCCCGCAGCAGACCTATCCGGTATATTCAATATATTCAATATACATCAACAATATTTGAAAAATAAAAATTCATAAAAGCTTCCTCTTGCACTTCAGTGGGAAAATTAATAGAAAACATCACGAGAACAGAAATATTAATGGAAACTCCTACCTTGTTGTACGTTTCGAGGTGTAGATGATGTATGAGTTGGTTTTTATACCAGTCACGAAACATCGACGGGCGTATATTTATTGTACAGGCGAAACAGAATGTTGCTCTTTTTCCTTAACGTTCTTATAAGTCAAATGATTTATGTACGAGATGTTCCGTGAAACAAACACGCAGATATCGACAGAACCAAGGTATAGGTTGATAATCGAAAATTCAAATTTTCTCTTTGACAATATGCATTATTCATCCGCAATCGGGCGAGTAAACGAGGAGGCATCGAACACATAAATCCCTAATAATCTCTAATATCTCATAAGATTAAATCGCTGGAAGTGTTTCCTCATTGAACATCAGTGAACGACGTTGTGAACATGAATAACAGAAATCCCGGTTTCAAAACCGGATTTACCTTTTCCTGGCGAAATGGGTCTTACTAATTCAGGGCGCTTAGACGCTTGATTGACGTACGGCCTGGAATTGTCTTAGTTAAGCGACGCCCGATAAATCTTCTCACATTCCATCATTTAACACAATGCTAGCCCCCATTAGTTTCTAATAGACACATAGGAAATATCTAAGCTAGAAATTTTGTTATCATTGAAATATGATATGACATCAAATCAGTCCTTTTATTATTACAGCATGAGAGGCCTTTTAGATTTACTTAAATTGAGTACAATGGTTTTGCTGTTTTATCAAAAAGATAATAATTGATGATACTTTAGAAGAGAATTGATAAACTTATTTTTAAACTGATATATTTTCAAGTGGATGCAAATCTATCGCACGCATTTTGTATAAATATGCGTACCTACTTCAGTGATATCCAATAACTCTTAATCATGATGCACCTTTTAGTATCATTGTTATGTTTAGCAGGTAAGTACAATACAAAATGTTCTTTAAAAACTAAAATTAAATAATAGTAACGATATATAGTAGTCGCTTCCTGCAAGGAGGACTCTCCTGACATCATACCGATACCGGGCGGTTTAACCGGCGATGCCATCACCACCAGGTACTGGGATTGCTGCGGAGGGTCCTGCAATTGGGACGCAATCGTGCATACTAAAAACGGTTTTCCCGTGAGGTCCTGCAAAATCGACGGCGTTACCAACAGCACGAAGGAAGATAACGGAAATTCCGTGTGCAATCCGAACAGAGGAGACGCTTTCACTTGCACCAATCAACAACCCATTATCGTCAACTCCACTCTCTCCTACGGGTTTGCTGCCGTTTCGTTTACAGGAAGCATCGATTACTCGCATTGCTGCGAGTGTTACCTCTTGAACTTCAAAGGCCAGTTGGCTGGTAAGCAGCTTCTGGTGCAAACCATCAATACTGGATCGGATTTGGTGTCCAACCAGTTTGATATACAGATACCTGGAGGTGGAGTTGGCCTGGGTAACATCGGTTGCCAGGTGCAATGGAACGCTCCGGTAAACGGCTGGGGTGATAGATATGGCGGGGTGCATACGATCGAAGAATGCAACGAGCTGCCGGAGGTCCTGCAAGAGGGATGCAGGTGGAGATTTACGTGGATGGAAGGAGTTCCGAATCCCAATGTGACTTACACGCAAGTTAAATGCCCGCTGGAACTGATCGCTATTACCAACTGCGGAGATTTCGATTGATGTTTAAAGTAATAATTTAATAATAATATATACATGTTAATTCTGTAGTAGTTATCAGAAAAGTAAATTTTACAACGAACTGTATTGATGTTTGTATCTAAAGTTTAAATCTGATGCGGTGTTGGATTAGAGCAAAACAATCTGAAGTTTTGAAGGGTGTTAATGGGGGTTTTCGGTGCTTCGTGTGCCATTATTTCTAATGCGAGTTGGAAGTTATGATGAAACTGTTGGAGTTATATCTCCAAAATGTTCAAATAATTCAAACTACCTATTCAGTATTACACGTGAGATTTTAAACCAGTTATCCATTTTAATTATGTAGTTTGTTGGTACAAAATGCATAGATTAGTAAATTGTTCTGACGTAAGCACACCGAAACTATAAAATGAACTATAAAATATAAATACTATTTAGCATAAATTTATTGCGAAGTAAAATTGACGACTTTAGAAACGGAAATAAGAAAATCAAAAACCTGAACGTTAACGTTTTCAGTAATAAAATTATTTTAAAAGTTTGGTCGAATTTATGTCATCTAAGCACGCAAAGTTCCGCATAAATGACGCTTCCCGGAAATTTTTCCTTTCATAATAAAGCTGCCATGTGATATATTTCATTTATAATTCCGGTCTACATATCATCATAAATTCGATTTATAGGTGGCTACATTAGAAGTAGAGTTTGGTACATTTCGGGTAAATTTTCACTGTCAGAGACAATACGAACAACAGATAGAAAGTACAACTTTTGCTCCTCTGCGGCGCCGGAATCTCTCTCAACTTTTATTACGACCATTTTCGGAGTTCCTTTTTCGTCGAAACGCTCCCGAGAGCACTGTTATGTCCCTACGTTTGTTTCTTCTATATCAAAAGACCTTCCTAAATTTCTGTCTTATAAGAGGAAACTCCTAATTATGAAGAGAATGACTCAAAAGCTATTTCGAATCCGTAATTCTATTATTTCTATTTTTTTTTGAAAATTGTTTGAAGTACTCATTTTCCATTATTAATTCCAAAATTTTAATTTTTTAGCATGGATAAGTATGAGCTACGCCGGATTGTCGAGTTTATTTTCCGAACGGCTAACCGAGACTTCGCAAGTTGTTTTGTTGACAGCGATAAATGTTTACATTTTAGAATCGATTTTGCGTTTTTTACCAAGTTTTCCCCGTTAACTTCACCGCGGGAAACCGATCAATCAGAGGCATTAAGTAAAAGTATTCGGTTGGAGAATATGTATTAGAAAAAGCTTTTAAGGGATTGAAAATTATTGTCAACTACAAAACACGCCTCGGGAAATTAGGTTGACGCTTAAAAATATTACCTACTTTCTTGTATTAAGCCGGAAATTACTGCGTATGTTATTGGTATTTCCTTTGAATTGCTTTCTTTTTCATTGTACCTATTACGTTTTCATGTTATATAAAAAAAGACCTGTAAAATTGCTATAAACCTCTGGAAAAGTACAATAAAATGAACCTCTCTTTTACAATTGCAGTTCTTGCAGACGGCAGACCATTAAAAGTGAGAGAAAATAAACGAGCTGGCCGCCTTTCTGAATGTCTCTCCCTTTCAAAATCTAAAAAATAAAAAGTAAAATGTATGTTAGCGCTTGAAATCACGGGATTTACTGACGACTACCAGATACAGCAGGACGATAAAGTGTCGGATTTACCAGATTTACTTTAAGACTTTCTAACAAGACTCCTTCTATTTGGGTCAAATTAGATTTTTGTTTTCGAATAAATATCTAAATTTCATCATAAACACGATAACATAAATCCCAAGGTGAAGGCCTATGTGGATGTGAATATCAGATATATTGCGATAATAGAAAGGATGTATACCTTCTTTAATATTTCGCTTTTCCGATCCCTTTCATCTTCCACTCCAATGAAAACGCCAAGGCAGGGATGAAACGGTGTATTTTGTTAAATTCGACTAACTTTATCCTATAAATAGATTATTGCAAAAGTTAAATCTGATTTTATTACGTCAGTCTATAAAAAACGTTCGTTTGGTTTTCAAAGTAAAATATATTTCCTTTTGCTTATAGAAAGGTTTATACACTTTATTGGAATTTTCAATATTATCTACCTACAATAAACGCGATTTATAAATTTCTTTAATCCAGATATTAAATATATTCAGATAAATCATATATGCACCTATTAGATATAATAAAATTCTCGATATATTCAGATGAAACGCATTTTTTTGGCGTATAATAAGGAAAATCTAAAAGCCAGAGCACCTTTGTTTACCTTTTATTTCTAGAAATTTATTGAATCCCCTTCGAACAAAAGGAAAAAAAAACAAAGCAAAACAAATACAGGCATTACGCGGAAATCCGGATTTAAATAAGCGAACCAAAATGCTTACGAACAGGAATAGGACTCCTCCATTTAATGATATTCCGTCCCAAATAATGGGTAGGGTTTTCTCGATCGAACTACGTGCAATTCGAAACGATATGTATGGGAAAATTTCCACGTAAATTGGTTTCCCTTCAAACTCTTGTCCTTACCTTTTTACACTGCATATATTTTTACGTGTTCTTTCCTTATTAGGCAAATTAAAGATGCTTGTCTACAAAAAATCCTGTACGAATTAATATAGTATAAATAAATTTTATATCTCAATATTTGATTATTCTACAATGATATTGACATAGGAATAACACATATGAAAAAAAGAGGGCGTATTTGATCATTGTAACATCGCTCGAAAGAGATAATAATCGCAATATAACTGAACGTGTTTTTAAATAAATTGTTAATGACACTTTTAGGATCGTTTAAAACTGTGTATAACTGGGATTCCCAAAAAAGTCCAGAACCAGCTAGAATGGTTTCAGAACTATATAGAACTTTTCGATATGACTATTTAGTATTTTTCGACTAAATAACCAACTAATTTAATAGAATTTACCAAAAAAAAAGTTTTTTTTTTCAAATCTTGCAAAGCACCTGAAGAATATTCGTCAAATCTGCATGTAAAATCCTGTCACTTATTTTTTTCCTAGGTCCCCGCAGGCCGACCCGGTATAAAATATACTAAATAAGGTAATTAGGTGACAGTAAAACAATAAAAACTAACTTTTATGGCATGCTCTTTAGACTAATATTAGCTTTCCTGGGGCACATTTCAGTTTTCTAATAAGCTTTATCGGAAAATACCTCCGGCATATTGTAGGAGGATTATTGGAGTGCCGATTAATTTTACTACGAAGGTATAAGCAGCTTACGTTTATTACATTCCCCGGAAAGTTTTCTAAATGCTTTCGAATTGGTTATTCCAAAGACTCAATGACGTTTTCGGAATGCCTTTTACATATTTACAAGGTTTAGGCCCGTTTAAATATATGCCTAATAAATTGTTACTCTTTTAATAAACCAACTTTTGTAGAGATAGAAACTGAAAATAAACTTTACCAATGAAAACGCGAATTATAAATTACCCACAAAACAACATCCAGTCAGTTACAATTCGTAAAACTGGAGCGAGATTCGTGTGAAGTAAAAAAGTTGAGAAAAATATATAATGTGACGTTATTCCGACGCCATTATATCGATTTGTAGAATCAAAAGCTGAGCAAGCAAGGATTCCTAAAGGCCAAAATGGCAGGATGCCGTCTCCGATCAAAATACATAAAAATAATGCGGACATGCTTCGCCTTCTAATGGATTCTTCGTGAAACTTTGTTACAAAATAAGCTTTTTACTGATAAAAAAAGCGTCAGATCATTTTCACTAGGTCAGGGTATTATCTTACACGTTACAGTAATATTGTTAATTCCAATTAACTGCAGGTAGTGTGAATTAGAATGAGCGTTAAGCGAATAAAGTGAGGATAAATTTTCGAGTTTTTTTTTTTCGATAAATTGGGATAAATGCGATTTTCCAAGAGGAAATAAGGTCGTTCCGTTTTCCTTCGTGATAAATTGAGCTTTTAAAGTTGCATGATGTTCAAAAAGGGAAAGTGAGAAAGTGGAGATTAATTACGCCAGCGAACGTGATGTTTATTTTCTCGACTAGAGCAAAATTATAATGGTAATCGAATGGCAATCGATAAAATAGTAACATTAACAAATACGGTATCTGCTTAATATTTTATTAAACGAATATTTACGAAGTTATTTTTGGTAAATGTAAAGATTTTTCTACTGATCAATATGAAATATACCAACTGTTCTGAAATATGTAATTTTTTTACAATTTCCCTCTTTTGTTGCGTACGGCTTCTTTAAAAAAAGTTTATTAAAAGAAACATTAAATTCAGGAACAAAGTGAAATTTCTTTCGCCTTTTTTTCCCGTTTCGAAAGTGAACCTGGGGGAAGAAAATAAAACAAATATTGACTCAGCCACATATTGGGACGCGTTCAGGGCATGTTCTCTTACGGCTCTGAATATTTATTTAGGCCGTTCCCCGCACACGTGTTCCTTAAAAGTCGACGCACCGTACATAAATATCAACCAATTCCTTTATCTACCGCCGAATTTTCTCGTTATTTTAACGCCAGTATAGTTAACAGTATAGACAAACTCCCCAATCTATATCGCTCTAAGTGAATTTTCCTTCGGAACGGTCCGAGCGGCGTAAACCGGCAAACCTTAAATTTAATTTCCATTCTGGATGGAGGCGGCCGGTAATCCAGACGAGTCGATCGGTATCGTGTCACCTGCATATTTCAGATTTCCCGTCCGCCCTTGACGTCGGAGGTCGAGGGCAATTTTCGAATATCCGCAAATCCTGTTTCTGGAACTAGACTATGTTATACTACCTATATATAGCCTATGTGAACTACCGATCTGCGACCTACAGATGTATTGTCTATAAGAGTTTTCCGGAGCAGAGTTTTTATCCTTTATTGTTCAATTTTTTCCTATGGAAGAAGCCTTAGAATTATGAAAAATGTTTTAAGATCCCAAAGATTTATAGACACAACAAGACGTTGTAACTGCTAATGCCTGATTTCACCAACCAGTTCCTAAAGTTAGGTAATACCTAAACCGGATTTAGGAATGCCTAAGTACAATTTGCGTTTCACCATCATGCGCTAAGTAATACCTAAAGGTATTAGGAAATGCCTAAAGTTAGGACAACTCACTGGGCTTGCCTAAAACATTTGAGAAATACTTAACCATACTTTTTATGTGATTTCATGTGACTTAAGACTTGACTGTCTTTGGATGAAAATTTAAAATGAGAGGAGAGTTTTTAGAAACTGAACAAAACTGATTTTTTCGCCTTTTTCGATACATAAAAATACGGCATTACAAATATTAAAAAGAATTGAAGATGATTTTTAATTTTAAATACAGGAAGTTTCTTGAGAACAACTGGGGACTTAGCAAGTGTGAATCCCAACACAAGTAGCCAAGAGTAATTAAAAAGCTAACTGCAAGCTATCCAAATAATATTATGGGAACTATTGACCGTACACATGCATGTAAAGATCCATTGTCCTGGAGGAGAAGATGCAGAAATATTTTACAAATCGGAAAGGCTATTTTTCTATTAATTTACAGACTACATCTTCAGCAGATTTAAAAATAACTAACATAGTTTTAAGATAAACCGGATCATCAAAATCTCTCTTTTTCTCTCAACATATTCAATTACGATCTCCGCTTATTCAGTTTACACGTCAAAATTAGACAACGCTACCAATAAAATTCAAAAAAATTGTCGAAATCAAATTTTTACCTAGGTATTTCTAAGTAAGGGATTTCTAATGTTGGTGAAATTCAAATTAGGTAAGTATTCGATTTAAGTAATTCCTACCTTAGGAATTACTTATAGTTAGGAAATGCCTAAGAACATGTTGGTGAAATCGGGCATAAAAATTTCACATTTAATGGTAAACTCTGGCAGAAACAGAGACCTTACAAAAATGGGATTGCTCCTTCCAATTGCACAACTTTTTTCCCATTTTCCTCGTACATTTTCCCAGTTCCCTCTTCTTCCTCAAAGGGCACCCAGTGCGTATACGCAGATGTATTACACACAAATTTGTAACTGATTTACGAGCAAATTACTAAATTTCCAATTTTAGCCAAGCAATTTGCATTAAGCGACTATACAATTGCATTATCCTCGATTGACTAATCAAAGTTTAATACGATTACAAGCGAACCCGACTAATCTTTTGTAGTTAAATCTATATCACTCCCATAAAACATCATTAAGGTATGCAGAACAGCGGTAAAACCTCCCAGTTTTGTTGGGCTTAATTAAAGTTGCGTTGCGGATTCTCTGTACAAACAAGGGTTCACAAACTTGTTACTACTATAAAGTTGTTTTTGTAGAAGTTTATGGGAAAAAAATGTAGTTTGTATAACGGTAAGGTACGTTTTGGAACGTAGTTATAAAGGATGCTTACTAGCTCTAAAAGAGATAATAAAAACTTTCTTCTTCATTAAAATAACGACTTACCTTCATTTAAACGAAATACCTCGATATTTTCTATAAGTCTCATCGTAGATTTTTTTAATTGAAAAGCCGAGGTTCTTATTAAACTTTATTACGACACCCTTTTATTATGTTAATATCAACTTAACATCAGAAAACAATTCATCGTTTAATTATAAGTTAAGTTTATCGTTCAATCGTAATAAATGTATTTAAAACATTAAATTTTAAGAACCCGTTATAGTCCAGTTTTATTAATAACCATAATGACTTGATAAAGCTTCTTCAATAAACCAGAGTCGAATTCGCTCCAAATTCGTATTGCAAATTATTATTAAACAGTTTCCAAAAATATTCTAAAATGTTGAAAGTTAATTTAATCTAAAATAAATTAATAATTTACTAAAATAGCTGTTAGCGTTTGTAGACAAATATACAAATTTATAACGTTAATTAAGTATTTATTACTATTAGGTTCAATTTGTAAACGTAATGTAGTGTTCATTAATTATTAATTAGTCATAGGTAAGTACAGAAATCTGGCAATATTAAAATTTAACAAATTTGTAAATGTAAAATTATGTATTAAACAAGCTATAGGTAATCATACATTCAAAGTGTTCATAATATCGGATAAATTAGAATTTCAATAGTGAAAATTAGAGACGAGCTACATACTAAACCTACGACTCATTAAAATTTATAAATCTAACAAATTCAAATTCATCTGTTACATTTCTGTCCATTCGACATAATTACCAAATGCTATAAACAAACTATCAATGCGTATTTTAAGTAATAAATATTTTATTGATAATTACAACGTAAAATAAAAATCAAACAATCGCGTTAATTAATTTTATTTGAATTATAAATTAAGCAAAATTAACAATCCCTGCATTTGGTAACTGAAAGTTGATCGATTACTTTCAGATTATCGCTACAAGAAAAAAAATGGCCAATTTTTCTTTAGTTTTTTCGTTTTTCCTAATTTTGGTTTTAGGCAATTTTGTATTCGCTCATCATCATCACCATCATGACGATTATGAATACGACCACTTCGACAGAAAGGGTAAGTTCATCAAATTGTAACTAAATTTGGCAACATTAAACAGAGATAAATTGCAACAGGCTAACGTGAAATATTTGTTTTAAATGAATATTAACATAATTAATATCAAAAGGTTTTGAATAAATTCAAAAGTAATGCTAAGAATATAGTAATACTAATAAATAACGGAAACATAGCTCTAAATACTACATTATAAGTATTGTTCATTGTGCCCAACTTTTAAAAATAAATACATAAAATAGATTAAGCTTAATACTTGCAGAATTTAATTTAATATTAACAAGAGTTGATGTTAAAAAGCAGAATTAAATCATCCAACAAATATATCTATTGTCAAAATTCAGCGTTTGTATATAAAATTATTATTATTTTCTTATCGAAGGTTGGTAGACACTAACTGTCAAGTTGCATTGTTGCCGTTGTCATCCATCGGTACTTTTAATTTTCAATTTCTTCATCTATTTTCTAGTTTACTAGCCTTAACTACTAAATATAAAATAACTACTAACGCTATTCAGCCTAATAATCAAAAAATGAGAATTTTTTGCGTAGTTATCTTTTCCACGTATTAGAAATGACACCATTTGAGCTCTAAATAATTTAGATTCAGAAGTTTTCTCAGAAATTTCACTATGTACTCTTTATAGTGAGCCTTTGAATACGTCCGCCGTTTAGAAACGTGAAACAGGTGCCCCTAATTTTCAATTTGTTCTTGTCATTTTGCCATTTGACAATTTTAGAAAATTCTTAGATTTTGTAAACTCTATAAAAGTTCGGCAACACTGCCTACTTGTGACGTAGTAAATCATAGGTGACGTGCATTGATATTTGTTTTGCACCGAATGTATCTATAAATTAACGGAAACAAATGTTAATGAAAAAATGCATAACAGGATCATGAATCGATAAAAAGTATAAACGATTTAACACAAATAAATATCAATATTGTACTATTAATTACTTCAACCAATAAGTACACTAAATTACACACCTCATCGTTATAAAATATAATTTGGTATTCAATGAATAATACAAAAGGAAATTGGTCGTTTTAGACTGTTTCAGCGCAGCAGAATACAAGACCTGCAGGAAAAAGTACCCGGTGTGGACATGGGATTACAGATACGAGGATTGCGTGTTGGACATAACAGGAGGATGCGGGGAAACGGCCAACGCTTTCACGTCGAAACACGAATGTCGAAGAATAGCAGAACCGGTGTGTGCTGACTTGAATATTTATTTGGAAAAACAGGGTCATCACCACCACGGCCATCACCACCACCATTAAATCGCATAATTTCTACATCCACTAAATTATTATAATACACTTTTCTGTTTTGATTGTATTTACCTAATAAATATAGGATAAAAATAACATCCTCTTTGTTAATTAATCCTATTCAAAATATAAAAAAATAATCCCTATACAGGGTGTCCCAATAGTGCGGTAAAGCTCATTTACTCCGTTATAATAGATACAAAAAAATGGTAAATAGGACCTTTAGGCGCATATTTTAAAATTATATCGAATTATACAGGGTGGCCCATAAATCAAAGTCGTACTAAACATACATTTTTTTAAAGGCAATGAGGCTCGTTTTCACGAGTTTCTCAATATAAGATTTCATATGGCCTGTATCAAGGCCCTGTATATCAGAATCTGGGTTAAGATATTGGAAATTTTTCTGTGTCAGCAATTTTTAAAAATGGTCTATTTTCACAAAAATTAGTTACATTTCCACAAAATTACAATTTGTATACCGGGTGAGTCAAAACGCAAACTTAATAATTACTCGCTTAATTTAAATGGAACACCCTATATTAATAATATCCAATGGAAAGCCTATTTATTACTGAATCATTTTTCATAACATTTCCCTATACCTAACTGTCACTGTTTCTAAGATATTTTCAGTTTTATTAAAAAATGTCCAGTTTTCCTATTTGTAATTTTTTCGTATCTATTATAATAACTGAATATAAATTTAAAGAGCTTTACCGCACTATTGGGACACCCTGTATGTAATATATTGCCTAATATAATATTAGCTAATTAATTAATCTGTAGGTATCTGTATCTGTATTAGATAATTATATAGCATATATTCATAATCTTAAAACCATTGAAAATATAGAATACAGATAGTTAGAAAAATACTTTTTTCGATTTGTTACGTCCACACTGTCATTAAAACAAGATATTATAAATAAACAATAAGCAATAAAAATTTTATTCAATAAACTGATATAATACCTACTTACACGGCGCGCGGCGATCAGATTTCAACGCGAGTTAAATTATAATATTTAGTATGTTTTTTAAGAAGTTTTGTATTATTATTTTGTGTTTGACAAACGTAATTTCCAAAAAGCATATTTTTTTTCAACAAGGTATGCGTTTAAATTATTTTTAGTTAATACCAGTCTTATAGAAAAACAACAAGTTTCCAAACCATAAATACAACTACGTTATGTTTATGAGATTTTATGGCTTGTTCAAAAGTTTGTTTGCAATAAAATTTAATTGCCCGCCGAACGAAGGATTTACAAAAGAGAATAAAATTTCAGGAATACATTCCCATAGTTAAATTTTCTATAAGACTAGACTTTCTGATTATGCTAATCCTAAGAAGGATATTGCATAAATCCGATTTGGGAGGCAATTAGGAAGAAATTGCATTGATGGCTTTATGTCGAAACGACTTCTTAGAAAATCGATACTATGCACGGCGGCAATTCTAACTTCCATACAATTCTAACCGAACATTTAAAATCTGATTATCAGTAAATGAATAAATAATTACGTTCCAGATTGTTTCCAACCGCCTGAAGAGGGATTCCCGTGCAAAGGATATTTTGAAGTATGGACGTGGGACTATAGATACAAGGATTGCGTTCCACAGACATACGGTGGATGCAATCCATCCAAAAATAATTTTCATACCAAAGAAAAATGCCTAAAAGTGGCCAAGCCAATATGCAGTATTAAATCCATGCCGATGAAAGCACTGCTGCAACCATTTCAAAATTACCCCATAATCTATTTCACCAATAATAATGATTATATCAATTAATAATCGAGTAGCTATAATATGAATGTCAAGCCTGATGTTATTAATATTTTTATAAATTCTTACCAGTATGATAAAAATATATACCATACCTACATTTTCTTCATACAAATTATTTACTACTCTCTCTCTATAATTTGTACTATTACAGGTGATTTGAGGAATGGTTATAAAAAACTTCGGTAGATTCGAAAATGATGTACCTACGTATCAAGTAAAATTATCTTTGTGCGAATACAGCTAAAAATAAATTAGCCATGTTATCCGAAACTCTTTCAAAATATACGCGCCGAATGGAGTCTACTTTGACGGGAATTTCCTTGGTCCATTGTTTAAATGAGGCGGGTGGAGGACACTTGGTCGCCGCGGTTAATTTTACCCAAATTTAATCCTTTCTCGATTCGAAAGGTACAGGTCACTTGGTCACCAATACTGGATTAACGGTTTCTAGGAAGGACTGATAGGGATATCTACATTTTTAAAATTCTCTGGTAAAGTTAGTATTTGAATTTCGTCGTACAAATTAATAAGGATGTTTATGTTAACGATTCGCATATTATTTTATTTTCTTGCGAATCAAATTTGACATATTTGTGCTCTCGTGACACAATTTATTGCGACGGCACATTTGATTATTGTCCCTTATTTTTTGTGCAATTTTTTACTATACACGCTATTGACAATGGCCATTAGCATATTTTCTCCTACAAAACTGCATTTAAAATTTTAAAGGAGTATTGCTGTAACAATTTAAATTTAATTTGGAATCCATCAAAAGTAGTTTGTGGTTTTGAAAAAGCCCTACACTGGCATAAGGCAAATTTGGCCCGACATTTTAGTTATCGGATGCCGATTTCATTTAAAACAGTCATGGTTTCGAAAAATTCAAATTACACATTCATTACACATTCGGCTTTTTATTTTTAGAGAGTAATGAAGTTGCAGATTGTTTTAGCCAAGATTTAATTCCTATAATGCCAACCGATGAACGATTACTTTCATATACTCTTTATATGATTAATACATAATATTCTAACGACTCTTCTGACTTCCCGCCTTCAATGTGTTGACTTTAGACAGTGTATACATTTTTTAATACTAATACTTATTAAATATATTTTAACATTTAAAACTGCATTTTGTTCATATTCTCTGAGCTATCTGTGTAGGTATCTAGAAGGTAACTAGAAGATCTCAGCCAAAATTATAGATGATTATAAAATGTACAATCTTGTCTAATCCGATTAGAATTATTTTTAATAAGATTTGACCGCGGGGACCAATTAGCCCATTAAATTTTGAAACTGGGGACCAATCGACCTGTAGGATTATGGAACCCCGCTGACAAAATTGACCGTGGGGACCAATTGACCAACACCGAATGAGGCAGGTCCGCGCGATGAATAATGCCCACGAAATTTAATCCATTAACTGGAAATTGCGTTGTTCGCTGTTTCCCTATTCAATAGGTCTTTGTTTGGAATATTAGAAGTTAGCGCGAAAAAAAGTTAGAAGTAACAACTGATTTTGACAGGGTGTTCCGGAGATGTTTTCTGTAATTGAAATTGTGTGGTACGTTTGAAAACTCGTTAAAAGTCGATTATCGATTTTATTTATAAAATGTATTGTTGTTAATGTGTGTTGTTGAAACTAAAGGTTCAGTTCAAGACCAAAGAAAATAGTTCCTTTTAAACAAGGTTTAACTTTATCTATTTAATTACGTTACAAAGTTGTCACGTATCCTCGATAAGACAGAGCAAAGAAGTTAAAGTAGAGAAAATAAGCTTTATTGGATATCAACACAGTTTGCACACGAGTTTTTTATTATAGAAATTTATTTCTAAATTAGAGTATAAGTAAATTAAAACTTCGATATCTAAGAAATGCATTTAATATTCATGTTATTCGGAAACTTCATAGCGCACTCTCCTGGCTCTTCCTTATAATCGTAATCGTTTAGTTGAAGCTTTAAAATGACGCTTCATGAATAGATTACCTATCTCATCAATTTTACATCAAAGTTGCTGTCTTCAATTTAAATTCTCCAAGCGCCCGTTATAAAAATTCGCAAAACTTGGCAAAACTTGGTTCGCCCTTAAAAAATTTAACAACTCCCTTGGTAATGAACGAAATTAAAGATGAATGCCTAATTGGAGTTACCCGATATACCATAGGGTTTAATGAACAGAAAAAATTGTAGCATAAGGAATTTCGTTACTAAGAATATACAGGGTGTTCTTAAACATCGTGGACATTCCAAAGGGGGTGATTCCTTGGCTTATTTTATGACTAAAAGTTTAAATAAACATGAGTCCGCAAACGGTTCGTTATCGATCTACAGGGTGTTAAAATTTCATTTTTTTTGTTTTTTCTTTGTAGCTCCTTATTTAGGAACATCCTGTATGTAGTAAAAAATTTAAAAGCATTTTCTTCTTGTTTCGAAATGATTTAATAGATTTGTGGAATAGTGATTTTTAAGTTAGGAAATAATTTATTGTTGTTGAGATGCGATTATGTGAAACGAACGAGGAAAGTAATGGAAACAAATCGATATCGGAAAACGCTTCGTGATATGGAAGCCAATTTTCAAGATCAAACGGTAAAGTTCGACAAAATGACAAAATCTTTGCGGGCTACGTTCCTGGAATAACTAATTTTAATATGTCAATTTCGGGCGAATCTTTTACCAAAATACAGTCATGTTGCAATGTTAGTACAGCATTTTTCGCGAGTGATTTTTGGCACGTGTTGCCCCAAAAAAATCTGGTCGAGATGAAATTCCTGTGAAATATTACAGAAAGTTTTCGGAAAGCTTCGGAAACTCTAACGCTCTCTTCTTTGAAGTTTTTTTTCAACTTCCACTACTTTGTATTAGACTGGAAAAGCTGAAGGGAAGTATCGAAATATAAAATCCATTGTTCAACGAGAAAAATGATTATTACCTAAAAAAAATGATTGATGATGAAGAGCCATAGAAAAAATGCATTAAATATATTGCATAAACAACCTATTTTCCGGACAACATTAAGTATAGTTAATGAAACAAAGGCGGCATCTTGTCTACAAGACGAACAAAGTTTTTGATCTGTAACAAATAACTTATGCGATAAAGAGGAAAAAACGCCGTTCGGAAATAAATCGAGTTGAGCAATCAAACCCGCGTACTTCGGGAAACATGCGCTCGAAAATGCGATTTCTAGTTTTCGACAGCTTGTTTGCTGAAACTGGATTAGAGTTGATCAAACACCAAAGTCGATTGGTTGTAAACAATTTTTTTACGAATGCGAGACGATTGAAATTGGAAAATACCGAAACCGCCACGTGGAAATGTTAACAATTCCTTACAATTTTACTAAGAAACAAAGTTTAGTTTAAATATAGTAGCGAGATACACTCATCTCTTTCTCACACTAGTGTAGTTCCTATGTTCACATATTGCTTTTATAATTTATACTTCTATTCTCCTTCAAATGTTAATAATTTAGTCTGTTAAATTTTAAACAAAAAACTTCTCAAAGACTCCCTACTTACACGGAATTATTCATGTGTCCCTTTGTAAGCAAAAAGTAGGTAGCGCATCTACTTAAGTTAGTAGAACATCCGTGCGAGTACATGTGCTATATTTAAATATTAATAAAACATCCGAAATATTTTGTTTTCGGCGGTATGAAATTTAAAATCGTACAGGCGTAAAATGAATTAAATTCCGCATCTCAAATTCATTCATCATCAGGACGATAAGGAACCGCTCGAAACAACTATAAATCATTTGAGGGGACGATTTGTATTCCGGGAAAGTCCATTCGAGTAAAAAAGGAGTCTCTTAGCGCGGATTCAAGTTCACTTCACCTTTTTCCTATTCAAAGGGAAGGCTTCGAAACTTTCATAATAAACACAGATACTTTAACGTCGATCGATTTTTATTCATAAACGAAACGGGCCTTTTCCGTGCCAGAGACGAATTTATATACAAATGAAAAAAATCCATTACAGCAGTAAGTAACGGGATTTAGTGGATTTTTTGAATTATAAAAAAACAATTTATATAAAGCTTTTACATTTTTTCTTCTTTATTCTTATAAATACTTTTTTTTAATTAATAGGTAGGTAATACCTTCATGAATAAGAACGGATAATTGCATTACTATACATTACCGAGAATTATATCTTCTACAACCAAAATTTTACAAACTTCCCATATGCAACTCGCTAAATCCACATGCTCTAACAAGACCAAGAATTGGAATTATCATTACGGGCTTTTTTCAACAGCTACACGAATCAGTGGGCGGTTGAAATGCAATCAGGCTAGAATGCAATTGCATCTTGGAAGCGGGAAATTCCGCGAGAAGTAATGCTCGAGAGGAGACTCAATTACTCGTTGATTCCAGAGCTGCTCTTTACCGAATAACATAATGAACGGCTTAGTATTCATTTAACGTTTTCCTATTTGAAACTCGCAATTATTGTTCTCGCGTGTTAATGTAATTACTCGATGACGCTTAAGATTTATGTAAAAAAATCCTAATCCATCTGGAATAGTTGCTTTCGGTTAATATGCATATGACTTGTTGAGACGAGCCGTAATAACATTAATGTGAACTTTAAGGTCGAAACTAACAGTATTATTTCATCCCTTAGGGCGAATGTCATGAATAAACATCCCAATTACGAATAGAGAGCAATGATACGGAAAGTACGTGGTTGAAACGATGGTCTTGGGTAGCAAAGGCGATAAGGGTCATTTGTGACCTTAACTGTAACATAAGGGATGTAGATTGGATATGAAGATGTTTTACTTGCGGTTGAACGGGCGTTTGCAGGATACAAAATAATATAATTTTCTTAGTATCTAGTAATGTAAAGCAAGGGATACAAATAATTTGATTCAATGAAAGATGATTAATTGTGGAAACTTAAAAGTTCTTAAATATCTTTGAGACAGTCGAATGCCTGTAAAGGTAGCAAATCAGTAATCAAAATAATAAATCAACGAATAAAAAGCTAAAATATGAAAATTATAAAATTGATACA